TATTCAGAGTTCTTGTTTGACCCCTATTGCATACTTATTTTGGAAAGTGCTTGGGTATTTGTTTTGTGGGATATGTCCTCTACTAACACTATTTTATTTTTGACTTATTTCATTGTTTAAGCAAAGGTATTTAGAACCTAAAGCAAAAGCTGTCTCATGGAAGCCTGGAGTTGGCTTTCACAGTCTGTTGCTTCAGCCCATTTTGTGTACTGCTATTTATCTGCTCGCTGAGTACATAACTTTCAACCCATCAAAAGATACCAGTTCCTGAGGCATGAAATTGAAGAAATTCAATTTTAATTCTAAAGCAGGTGCGATGATCAACACTAATGAGAAAGATATTGGTTGATGACCAATATCTAAATGTTTGATTGAAGTGATAAACCGTTTCCTCTCAGCAGAAATGATTACAAGAGCTCAGAAGGAAGGATCTCCAGAATTTCAGAGAGAAGAAGAAAGAGATTGAATGCAGTATTCTTTCACATATTTTTTAGTTTGGACAGTGAAAGGTTTATGAAAATGGAACATGATCAGGTCCTTTGAATGAGTCGTTAAACCGAGGTCCCTTTTTATTCAGGTGGACATTAAAGATTCCATGGCACTATTCGAAAACAGAAGGGCACATCATTCAGTATCATTAGTCATCAATCCGCCAAATAAAATCAATTATTTATTTCATGGCTGTTTGTGGGACACTGCTGTGCACAAATCAGCTGCCGCATTTTCACCCATAAAATATACAGTCAATTCACTTTACAGTATATTCTGTGAAGTGCTTTGTGACGTCTTGAAGATGTGATAAGATGCTATATCAAATGCAAAGATTATTATATATATTCACCACAAAAAATGCAGTCACTACACTTTAGAATAAATCTTATTAAGTGCTTTGAGGTATTTGTACAAATGTGATCAAGTTGCTATATCAAATGCAAGTATTATTATTATAAGATAAAACTAACATGTCTCATGACAGTCTACATCCAGTCTCACATCCCCTGATCACAGATGAGCAATGCAACACTTGGTGAATTCTACTTTACAATGATGGGAGGAACTTACGTTCTACTCTGAATTGCAGTGCGTGGTGAAGCTGTTTATAAACTCTGGGTTATAAAAATATTGATGAGCTGGAAAGCATTTGATTCCTGAAATAAAATTAATTATGAAGCAAATCAACAAGGGAGTGAGATTTCATTTCAGATTAGTAAGAGTGGAATGTTGTGTGTATTCCCTGACTACTTGATGCCTGATCTGTTAGCAACTATTTAACTGTTAAGGGTACATAACTAAATGTTTTACTGTGTGTAATATTTAGCTCGAGGGTGACCCTATTATAAAACAATTCCATTGAGTATGGGTAAGCTTATAGCTGAAGTGTACTGTGGACTGTGAAGCACAGTACGTCAGACTTCCAACACTGACAGGGAGAAAGTGCACATTCCATTCCAACAATCTTTCTCTGGGATTTCCATGTTTAGGTGGGATGGATGGAATTGTCAGCTTGGGTTGGATACCGTTAAGCATGGTGATGGGTTTCCGCATGTGTCAGACACCCGGCTGTCCAAAAAAAAATTGATACTGAGAAATGGGCATTAATTAATGTGCTAATGGAAATAAGAAGAATCATTAATGCAAATTGACTGTTACACTTTGGTGCTCTTACATTTTGCAACTCTGCTCATTTGAGTTCTGTACACAGAACTTTTCTTGTTTGCAAAAATAATGGATAGTTAATATTCAGATTAATGGCCTACTTTGAAGCAATAAGTAATAAAGTGTTTACAATTTTAGAAAATAATCCTCATCCCCTCTCCTATACTAATCTTTACACTGCGAGATGTTGCCCTTCACGACGGGAGCTATATAAATACAAGTTGTTGTTCCCCTTCTCTCTAATATGTGCGAATTTTAACTTGTCACAATGTGCAACAGGAAAGTATAATGTTCGGAAGGAGTCAATTGCCTGTAAGAGCTCTTCCAGTTGATGTGGGTCCACACCATAAAGGGAATCAGCAAAATAGCTGAGGGGTCATTACAATGGACTTACCCTGTACAAAGATCAAAGTTTTGAAAAAAGCTTTGGATGTGACGAAAAACTTTCTAAGTATAACTGACACCTGATCCCGAGCTTTCTCATTTTGTGTAGCTGAAGCTGTTTAAATATTGTTATGATTTAATGGAAAGTTTCATTATGCTCTGACAGATGACACACGATTGAAGGCAGATAAGAACCGAGCTGCTCGATGAAGCATCTAATGAGTTCAAGATCAAGTACTGCAGTTCCTATCGAAAGAGCATATGGGATATTTTCACTGAAATAATTTTTGAGAAAAACCTGGTGGAGCATGAGCTGTAATAGAGCTTGTTTGAGAAATGGTGGCAGATAAACTAAGCACAAAATAAATCCTAGGGAAAAATCATAAGATTGGTTAAGGTAAACCGGACTTATTTTTGTAAGACGATAAAAATATTTTAGTGGATCATAGAAACGTCATCTTCATCTGTGCTACATCCACTGATGTTGGAGCTCAAACAAGGAACGACTCATAACATTTAAACCAATGCTATTTGCTTTGCATTGAACATAGCGCAGGATTGATTAGTTTAATCACTTTGCTGTTTGAGCCGAAAGAGCAATGAGTTTTGAACTAAGTAGATTGTGCTAGAATGCTGGAAACCTGATTCCATGCAATTGCAATCACAGATTATTCTCCCTTGTCAGTAAATTTAGTGACCTTATGATAAGATTTCTTTAAAATCACATTCTGCTAAGGCTTTACTGAGAAGTGGGGAGTAAATTGTGCTGGCCATTAAAAGTTTTGGTAAGTTGTGAGGGGAGAATATTTCTTGGAGTTTGAAGGACAGCTCACTCACATGCGAGTGTTTACACTCAGTATGGTTCAACTGAGCAATGCGAGCAGTGCAGTAATAATCCTTGTATTTGATACAGCGCCTTATCACATCTTCAAGTCGCCTCAAAGCACTTCACAGAATATACTGTAAAGTGAATTGACTGTATATTTTGTGGGCAAAATATTTCAAAGGGACCCCATTGCTGAATCTCATAATTACAAAGTCGCAACACCTATGTGATCAATTCAATCAGTTAAGAGAACTGCATTGAAATTTCTGCTCATTGTTTATATCTCAATTTCTTCAATTCAGGAGTTCAAGAGCTGTTGTTGGTGTGGTGAATCTGCTTAGTTAAGCAGGGACGTCCTCACGACGTGAAAGGCGCTATACAAATGTAACTTTGTTGTTGTTGTGGTGTATTAGTTGTGATGTGTCTGTGTGACAGGCAAGTTGAGTGAAAGTGTGGCTTTGACTTTGGACTAGGTCCTCCAAAGACAAATCCAAAGGCACCCAAACAATCATCCATTGTGTCCGGTGTGCAGCAGATTATATGTGAATATTGTCAAATGCTCTGACAACTGGAAGTCTTGGTCTGAAACTCAGAAGGAGGTGAATAGACAGTTCAGAATGAATTACTTTGCACAGAGGCTAGTTAAAGTGTGAAATAGTTTCCTCAAGGAACTGATAAGGTGGGTAGCGAGGCCAATTTCAAGGAATAGGATGGATATTTGATATTGAAAGTTATTAGGAAGTATGTGAGATAAGGAGAGATTGTTGTTGAAAATAAGACCAGCCAGATGGACTGCAGTGGTCTCCTTTGAGACTGATACAATCCTATGTTCCTATATATATCACTTGTATTTGTTATTTGCAATGGTGTGAGAGAAACTGCAATTTATGAAGTGATATCATAATGACAGAAAATGTGGCTAAAACATGCCTTCAATAACAAGTTTGGGACTGAATGCTCTTTCCAGCCAACTTTTGAAGAATAGCTTCTCCCTCAGTACTTTCCAGAACCAAGGTGTCGACGTCTATTTCTTATTTTGTTTAGTTAGTGAGGATTCTGAATGACTTTATTCCAGGCCACAAACCAGCATTATTTTATTTTTGAATTTTAGCTTTCAATCTAAATGTTGGTGAAGCAGGGTTGAGTCACTGCAATCATGACTGGGAATAATTTGAAAGACCTCCCTCTCACTTTCACAGAGTAGTGTTTGGTGCCAAACCCATCACTAAGGATAGATTTTAAGCCAACATCTTCTGTCCTTGTGATAATTGTCCTTTGCCACTTTCTCCCCATTGTAAATACTTGCAGCCTGTCCATCTGTTTGGATGTGAAATATAAAGATATCAAACTTTGTACCAGTTAAGAGTAATTTACTAAGAATATACAATATATAATAATGGACACTATAAGCATTAAACTTTGTTTCACGGTAATTGTAACTTAGTGGTTAGAGGTCTCCCCTTGCAAGCGAGAGACCTGGGTTCGATTCCTGGTAGGGCGAAATGTTGGGCAAGTTTCCTTACTGCACATGCCTCTGATTACCTAGCAGTAAGTAGGAACCCGAGGTTCACGTTTCCGGGGATAATAATTCCTTCAAAAAAATTATAATAATAAATATATAAATTGGTCACTCAATCCATGACTGCTGTGTGCAATTGGCTGTTGGGTTTCGCCCAAAAATATACATTCAATTCACTTTACCATATATTCTGTGAAGCGCTTTGAGATGTCTCGAAGACGTGATAAGGCGCTATATGAAATGCAAGGGATGATTATTATTTTATTATAATCAAGTTAAATCTAATGCATCTTTCTGATATTTAGCTTTGGTAATGTTTCAACAATGATATTTTGCTACTCAAAGCCATAGGTCTTGTTTCAAAAAAGGTAAACAGCTTCCAACTTTCCCCTCATGGAGATATTCTCATTTCACATTGTTAACTTGTCCATTATGAATACAAGTTAATTTTTTTCTAAGCCTTAAGATCTGAGTGATATTCAACAATATGTGACCAGCTTCCACCCTTCCACGTGGGTTAAAGCTTTGAGCAAAAGTTATGATAGCTTTTTCTTTTAGAAATATTTGTCCTGACTTTTTTCCTGCTGTACCGCTAATATTTTCCTATTGTTACAGGTTGCGATGTTTGGTGAAACAACTGGAACGGGGTGAAGCTTCTGTTGTAGACCTGAAAAAGAATTTGGAGTATGCAGCGGCAGTGCTTGAGACAGTTTACATTGATGAGACCCGGTATGTTGTTCAAATCACTTCAACAGGGAACTCTCTCTGTATAACATTCAATATTATTTGTTCTTATGTATTTATCCAATACCATTTTAAATGTGGTTACTGAATCAGCTTCAACAGCTATTTGTAATAAAACGTTCCACGTTCTAACAACCCTGTATAAATAAACATTGTTCTAAACCTCCCTCTTTTTTGCTTTTGGTGATAATTTTCAATTCTCTTGATATTAACCCTCTGATCATTTGATATATTCTTTTTCTTAAAATATTTCTCAATTTTTTAATTAATTTTAAATCCTATGACCTTTCCTTCTTAAAATAACTTAAAAAAAACCATTTCAAAATTAATAATAATAATAATAATCCTTGCATTTGATATAGGGCTCTTCACTTCGGGAGGACGTCCCAAAGCGCTTCACAGAACACACTGTAAAGTGAATTGACTGTATATTTGTGGGAGAATGCGGCAGCCAATTGCGCACAGCAATGTCCCACAAACAGTCATAAATTGAAAATGACCAATTTATTATTGTTTTTAGTTTTGGAGGGATTATTATTAGGCGTGTGGAGTAAGGAAAGACTGTATTTAATAATTTGCAACATTCTGTTAGTCCTGAAATGCTAAGAAATTAGAGTAAATCTAGACCTAAGTAGATATTTCTACTTGCGTCTTGGGACATCCTCCTGACGTGAAAGGTGCTATACAAATGTAATTTTGTTGTTGTTGTTGTTGTTCTACTCCAGTGAGCATAGAGTTAATCAAATAATTTCATTTCAAGGTAAAACTGTTCAGGGAAGAATACAATTGTGCATATATTTTAAATCATAAATTTTCACATCTTGGTACAGATCAAGGGAATAGCTTTTTCATCTCTTACATTTCTTACATGTGAAGCCCATGACAATTAAGAGGTATCAAAGGGCAATCTCTTGAAGTACCTTTTGTGAATGGATCTGACAGACTGCAGTCCCTAGTCCCAAGATTTAGGTGGCTGCTCATCCATGTTATTGTTTCCCTGTCAATTTTGGTAAAAGTTTACCTCCCAGTAGAGCCTCATTCCACACTCAGACAACCTGACTGTTTCCAAGGAGGCCTTAACAGACACCGGTTGAAATGTCACAAGCCCCATTTCTCCTGAATGCCCACTGATGCAGTTTAAAAGTTTGCATAGTTTGCACAGTATCATGATTTCTTTGCCCAAATCTAGTTTTTGATGACAAAAACAAACACTTGGTTTAGAGTTGCAAAGGGTAATTTCAGGACAAACAGCTGGAAGTATTTATCTACCCAGAAAGCAATTAACGACTGGAACAAGTTGCCAGGAAGGTTGGTTGAGGTGTCAGGACATTGGGCATATTTAAAAAACAGCTTGGTGCTGTGATGGAAAGATGGTTGGATAGGTATGCTGGAAGGATGAGATCAAAAAGGCTGATGGGCCTGCTTCATCGAAACCAATCTAGTGATCGTGTGACATTAAATGATGTAACATTAAATCTGCTATTCTGCTCATTACATTCACTCTGCATTTAACTTCAGAGTGATGTATAATGACAGAAAGTAATTAGAATTAAAATCATAAAAGGTTTATGTATATTTTAAAAGTAAAAAAAGTGTGATTTTGCTTTGTTTAAACGCAGACGCCTCCTCGATACAGAAGATGAACTCAGTGACATCCAGTCAGATTCTGTTCCCTCCGAGGTACGTGACTGGTTGGCCTCCACCTTCACAAGGCAGATGGGGATGATGCTGAAGAGAACGGAGGAGAAGCCGCGATTCCGTAGCATTGTCCATGCGGTGCAGGCTGGGATATTTGTGGAACGGTAAGAACTTGCTGCAACTTTGAAACAACAGGCAACTCATCTAGGCCTTTTAGTGAGTCATTAAACCAAGGTCACGTCTGCCTGTCAGGTGGACGTTAATCATCTCATGGCACTGTTCAGAAAAAGAGACGAGAGTTTCTCCCAGTGTCCTGATACAATTGGTCATTCATTTCACAGCTGTTTGTGGGACATTGCTGTGTTAACTGTGCTACTACCCCCAGGATTTGAGAGCAAACAATATAACCTTTTCATTTTCTTCCACTTTCTATTTATCTATGTAAATGTTAATGGAGTACACACTGGAGTTTAACTCAGTTCCAGAGCAACGACTGGAGTATTTTTTCTCAAGCCCTGGAGGATGGGAAAAAAATAGAATGAATATGGTTATTGTTCTGAAGTCCACATCTCCAACAATACACAATGCAATAGTTTGGGCTCTGCCCATCAGTTGTATTTAAGTTATTGGTGAGAAATGTAATCCATTGTACTAAAGTGTCTTCCAACTCTCACCTCTGAGATTTGGATTTGTATAAAGGCAGTCTGACAAAAAAAATCTTTTTTGCGCTCGTGTATGTGCATGCGTGTGTGTGCATACGTGTGCGTGCATGCTTGTGAGTATATGTGTGTGAGTGTGTATATGTGTGTGGCACAATGGATGTTTTCAGACACTTAGATCATTATTTGCCAGTTGTAGAAATAACCTTCTAGATGTGGTTAGTAAATTTGCTTTTTTTTTCTTTCACGCTTCATTCAAACCTCTTCATTTTCTAATCTTTCTCTTCAGCGATCTTGTTAGCACAATTTAATTGATTTTGTACGAAAATATGAAACAGAAACAAACTACTATATATGCAGTGGAGGCATTGTGCAAATACCTGTCACACAAAATAAATTAAGTGGACTGATTTAAAATTTTTAGTGTGCTTTCCCTCCCCATTTGCTTTTTCCCGGTTTATCTTAGTGTAGAGCTGAGCTGTATATAGATTGATTCCCGTTCAGAGTTGAATTTGATAATCTCAGCTGGGGCAGCAGTTGAGGTGCTATAATTGGTTTTGGTGGCCCAGGATAAGGGGAGGAAAAATCTACCAGGTTTCCTACTTTTCATCTTTATCCAGAATTTCCAGCTGGAGGTGCACATTTGTAAGTGTGCGCATCATTCAGGCTCAGCTGTAGTCGAACAGCCCACTGACACTCAAAGTGCATGATGTTCACTTGGGTGACTGACTGGGTGTTTTCAACAGAGTTGTAGCCTAGCAAAAGAAAAAAAAGTCAATGCCTAAAGGGAGAGAATGTGAGGGAGTCAATTGGTGAAGAAAAAAATATGAAATATTATTTCACATCTATTCAAGCACGTGTTATTGTAACAGACTTTGGATCCAGAATTATGGTGACCAACTAACCCATGAGAGTGCCCTAAAAGACCTTGCATAGTACTGGGAGGTTGGAAGGGGGAGAGGAGCCTGGGTGGTATAAAGGTTCCAAATGATCTGTCCCTATTCTCTTTGCTCGGAGACTCCAGGGAAGGAAAGCCCAATCGGCTTCAATAAGGACAGGAAAAATCTACCAGGTTTTCTACTTGTCTCTATCCAGAAATCGCAGCTGGAGGTGCAGATCTGTGAATGTTGACGGCAGGGCTTCTGAGAAGAAAGGAAGCCTGAGGCCCCTCGGGTGGCCAGCCCAAGCTTGTTGTAGAGAAAGCCTGCTGGGGTTGAGCATAGAAATGGAGAGATCATGTTGATTACTACCTGAGCAAGGTGGGACCAATGAATGAGGACGAGTTGCAGATAGTCGAATTACAAACCTGGACCCTGAACCTCTCCAGGTTGTGTTGGAGGAAGTGAGCATTGTCTGTCTCTGTTTGGGATCCAAAAGTGTATCCCTCTGTGTTAGTAAATGGCTTAAATCATGAACCATGTCTATCTCCATGTGCGTTTAGTATCTGTATGGCTCTGGTATTCTGTGGTCCCGCAGTCACATTATCAATAGGTTTACATATATAATGTTATTATCAATATGAGGCTAACTCTGTTTTCTAAACTGATTTTGAACAGAATGTACAGGCGCACATCAAATATGGTTGGACTAAGCTACCCACCTTCTGTGATCACTGTGTTAAAGGTATTTAACCCCAACTTCTGCCTTTTGCGGTGTTGTGTCGTTGGTTGTATATCTTCAGATAGATGCAACCAATTTGTTCTTTTTTTTTAACTGAACGGAACATTAGAAAATGTGTCTCAATGATTGTAATGTGTAATGTTATGACTGTATTAATGGAGTCTCACAACATACAGAAAGAGGGCATGCAATCTTTTTACTTCTTGGGAGGGGAAGGGGATTTGATGTGTGAGCACTTACTCAGTGTAAGGCTGACCCCACAGAACTGTCTCTTGTGCTTTCTTTCGCAGAATGTAGATAAGTGGTCCTTTGACGTATTTGCACTGAACGAGGCCAGCGGAGAACACGCCCTCAAATTCATTGTCTATGAACTTCTCACCAGATACGACCTTATCAATCGTTTCAAGGTCAGTAGCGAGTGGGGGAAATCTCTCATGTTGCATGGTACATAGGAGGACTAACCTAATAATAATATAATAATCCTTGCATTTAATATAGCACCTTATCACGTCTTCGAGATAATCCTCCACATTCAATTGTACTATCTTACTCTGTTCCAAAAAATATATATCAAGACCATATTTAAGTTGAAGCAGTTCAACTGAATTGTCTGGGATCTAAATTTTACATCACTCAAAATATCAGTGTTATCTCTGCAGCCATTGGCCCTCAGGGGAACCCTGGATTCTAAATGATTATAAAAGGGAATGCCATTGTAACACTGTCCTCTTGAGTCCAACAGCTGAGAAGCCACAATATAAGCGGAGTGAAAAAAATGGCTGACTTCCAGGTCATCAGATTCTCACTGACATCACTCCCTACATACGCAACGCACAGGAAATGACATTAACAAATATCCCTGCATGTGTGCAAGACAGAGGAAATGATGTCCAATCATTTTTGCAGAAAAATATCTAGCCAGTGCTGGAAGCCAGGTGTACCATGCTTCCTGTTAGCACAGGTCCACAGGAGATGACACTATAAGCGAAGCAACATTCTACAGGAGGGCATATTTAGAGACAAAATATTTTTTAGTACGTTACCATATTACACTTGTGCTAGGACTAATGTGAAATCAACTTGAGAGCAATGACTTGTGAAAAACTATGTTGCCCATACTGAGTTTGGGCAAAACCACTCTCTCTCAATCCCAAACCTATCATTAAGAATTGCTTTTAAGATTGCATTTTCTGATCATATGATAATCATCATATTACAAGGCACATTCTTCTTTAATAATGGATTATTTTAATAATCTATCCTTTTTATGTGACGTTAAAGTGAAGTTCCACTTTCTGGCTCTGGAGGTATCATATAAAGGTATATAAAGATATAATGACACTATTAAAAATAAGGAGTTTCTCCCAGTTTCCTGGCCAACAATCCTGCAGATAAAATTGGTCGTTCACTCCATGGCTGTTTGTGGGACCTGCTGAGCGCAAATTGGTTGCTGCATCTGTTTACAAATATAGTCATTACACTTCACTTCACATCAATACCTGTGAAGTACTTTGATACTCTTTGACATTATATACAAGGATTAATATTAATATCCCAGAATTTTATGAAGACAATGTTGAACCTAGAGATCCAGTGATTGATCTCNTTTTTATGCTCAGAACCATTGTATTCAGGCAAGGCAATGGATTTTCATATCAAAATCTCAGGATAAATAGTCCACAAGATAAATTACGACCAAGTGATGTAGCTCTGCAATAGATAGAGCTACAGAGATCGAAGTGGAGGCTCGCATTTTAATAGAAAATGTGTGCAGTAATTGGGATAATGTTATGGAGAATAAACCCATGTTGCATTTTACAAAAAAAAACTTGCATTTATATAGCACGCTTCACTCTGGGTAGCATCCTGGAGCGCTAGTCAGTGGCGGAGTCTGACCCCGAGCCAGGGGAAGAGGGAGTGGGGAGCTGATTGATCAAAAAAGAAGGTCTTTAGGCAGAATTTTAAGGTGGGAATGGAGGATTCAAGGCAAAGGGATTGAGGGGGAGAGTTCCAGAGTTTCAAGGCTTAGTGGCTGAAGGCACAGCCACCGATGGTGGAGCTGAGGGGAAGAGGGACAAACAGGAGGCCGGAGCCAGCTGAGCGGAGGCAGCGGGTGGTGCAGTGGGGCGTAAGCAGGTCAGATAGGTAGGGAGGTGCAAGGGCATGAAGGGATTTGAAAATGAGTCAGAGGATGTTGAAATTGATCTATTCGGTAATTGGGAGCCAGTGGAGCCTGGCAAGGGCTGGTGTGATGGGGATATGGAGTTTTGTGCAGGTGAGTAATCGGGCGGCGGAGTTTTACATTAATTGAATTTTGTGTATGGTGGAGCTGGGGAGACCAGTGAGGAGGGCATTGGAATAGTCCAGCCGGGAAGTGATGAAGACACGGACAAGGGTTTCGGCTTTATTTGTTGTGAGGTATGGACAGAGGCGAGCAACATGATGGAGATGGAAAAAAAATGGCTTTGGTCTGGGAATGGATGTGGGGTAGAAAGGAAAGCTGGGGATCGAACCTGACACCTAAGCTGCGTATGAGTTTGGAGAGTCTGAGGGAGAGCCCGGGAGGTTGAGGAATTCAAACCCGCAGGAGAGAAGACTTTGACGGTGCCAAAACTTATGGCTTCTGCCTTGCCGATTTTATAAATTATACAAGCAGACATAGCAAGTTGAACAAGTAAACATTACAAGCAGCATATTTATGGACACTCCCTGACTGTTCCAGGCACTTACGATATATCAGCAGCCTACAAAATGTCATCATAATCACATACCAAATAGAATGGGTGGAATGTCCCCTGCAGGAAAGAGCTAGTAGCACACAGGGTGAACAAATCCATCCCTTTCATGTCTAATGGCAAAGAGTGACTGGTGGGAATTGGATACTGTCAATTTTGTTTTCGCTCCTCAATGATCCTTTCATGACATAGCCAAGAAAGCACAGAGATCTAATTGTTGATATTTTATATGATAGATTCAAATAGAATTTCCAATGATCCATAGGAACTCTGCTCCAAATTTAGCTTGCATTGGTCAAGTTGATGTACTTCCAATTACCAAAAAGAGTCCCTATTTCTTATCAAGGAATCNGGGGCAGTGGAAATATAGAGAAAATTAAGATCCAAAAGCTTATTATTATACAAAGTACATTGATGAGCTAACCTGCTCTATCACCGTGTTCAGTTATTTGTGTGAACTGATTCATAGATAGTGGAAATTTATGCATTGTAAAGGATTGCACCTCAATAACAGAAAGCAAAAGCAGGTGTTAACGAAATAAAAGTGCCACTAGATATGGCTGATTGTCCACCCCCACCCCATGACATGTTAGTCCAACCCCCTCAATGACATGTCATGGGACACAAAATAACCACTTGCTGAGAGCGAATTGGCAGAAGTTTTCAATTGTGAGTGACAAGTTTTATTTGGGGGATGATTGGCCAAGAAGCCAGGAGAAACTCCCTTCTCTTTTAAGTTATGTCATGGGGACATTTGACGACCACCTGGACAGGCAGACATGACCTCGTTTAACATCTCATCGGAAGGACAGCACTTCCCACAAAGCAGCACTATCCCAACACGGCACTGAAGTATCAGCCTAGACGATGTGAGTCCTGTCATGGAGCCTGAATCCACAGTCTTGTGACTCAGAGGAGAGACTGATACATACAACAGGGTATGTTGAGTCTTTCACCCTTTTATAATATCAAAACCACTTTTGCTTGTTTCCAATCTGTTGAAACCTCCCCAGTGTTTATTGACTCCATCAGAACAAATGTCAATGCTTCAGAAATCTCTCTTGTCTAGGTACACTAGAGTGTGCTCCGTCTGCCTTGGGAAACGCATAGTTTTTTTTTAGCCCCTTGAGCCTATCCAGAAGCTCTACCTCAGCTACCCTCTTGACTACTTTCTTGCTGTTTTTGATGTTACACTTTATATTTGCTCCCAAGTCCCTCTCTAGTTCTCTCTTGGCTCCTTAATCTCTTTTTTATGTCTACTTCTCCACAATCTTATACTTGGTCATTGATCTCCCTCTCTCTCCCTTTTACATAAAACTTTTTGGAGCTTTTTTTGATATAATTTGCCCCTGTTGCAGTTGGAGTATGTATTTATCATATACTAGCTGTACCTATTGCAGCTATTCTTGCAACCAAAGAATCCAAGATGGAATGTAGATTTCAGTATTATTCTACTTTATATTAGATTATTCTACTTTATATAATGATAGGAGATGCCCCCCAAAATATTCCCCTGGTTTTCTCCACCGCTATTTTGTTGCAGAATATATTAGTACAGATCTCTCGCTCTAGAAAGGTGTGTGATTTCCTCTGTCGCTACTTTGTTGCATGCATACCTCATATTTTGGGGCTTAATTAAAGTATTTGTTAAATATAGTTCATCAACGATAGGAGATCAGCAAAAAAAATATGCCCATCACACTCGCGTGTGCAAGGCTTTTCCAATGAGATATAAATCTTGTCTCTATGTCAATCATTTATTTAGATCTTGGCTGATACACATACACACATGCACAAACGTTTTATTAGACTAGATATATTGTCAGCCTGGCTCAATTGGTCATACTCTTGCCTCTGAGTCAGGAGGCTATCGGTTCAAGTCCCACGTCAGTGCTTTGAACTCACAGTTTAGGCTGACATTCCAATACAATTTTGGGGGAACAATACATTATTATCATAATAATAATATTATTATTATTTTATTATTGGAGGTGTCTTCCTTCGGAAGAGACATTAAACTGAGGTCCCGCCTCCTCGGTCAACAATTCCCCAGATTAAAAAAAGGTCATTCATTTTTCTGACTGCATGGGACATTGCTATGCACATATGTGCTAGTACATTTCACTGTAAACCTTGAAGCGCTTTAAGACATTTTAGTGTGATAAGGCATTATATCAAATGCAAGGATGATTATTATTATTAACAATTGGTTAAGGTGAGATATTAAATCAAGATCCCCTCTGCCTGTTCCTGTGCACATTAAAGATCCCACAGCACTATTCAAAAAGAGAAGGGAGTTTCTCCCAATGTCCTGGCCAACAATTCCCCAAATAAAATTGGCTATTAACTCTATAGTTGTTTGTGGGCACATTGCTGTAGAATCATATAATCAGAATTGTACAGCAAAGAAGGAGGCCATTTTAGGCAATGCATTCCAGATCTGAACAACTCGCTGTATGAAACAATTGTGTGTTCTCGGGTTACCGACCCACCCTCTAGTGGAAATAGTTTCTCCTAGTTCACCCCTCATACTTTTGAAAACTTCTATTAAGTCTCTTCTTAACCTTCTCTGCTCCAAGGAGAATAATCCTACCTTCTCTAGCCTCTCCTGATAACTGAAATCTCTCATACCTGTTATCATCCTGATAAATCTCCTTTGCACTTTCTCCAGT